CTTTGGTGTAGGGTTTGACCTGTTTGCCCTATGTAGAGAACTGAAGGGCACTGTTGGTATTTAATGGCATATAACAATTTTAGAAGATGAGCAAGTGAATGAGCCTGAGATGGGGTAGTTGATGTTGTTAGGTTCAGTGACCTTGTCTGGGTATATGTGGCAGTAAAGTTGGCATCTGGGTTTATTGCAAGCTCTGGTAACAGTGCCCATGTTCAAATTACATGTTGTCTCATGCCTGTAACTGTTATTCTTCAGCTGGTCATCTGTATATACACATGTCCTGCCCACCTTCTCAAAACAGATGTTTTTAAAAAGAACATTTTGGAAGGAACCAAACGGAACTTTTTGCTTCTGAGAGGAGAGTTTTTGCTGTTAAAAGCTAGTTGTAGAAGTTTCCAAAATGGAGCTCTACGCAGATGCATAGCTCATCAGTGTCCATTTGAAGAACAACTCTTACACAAATGGAGCCTGTTTTTCCCTTACTAATACGTTGATTGAAAAGCATCTACAAATACACTGTAAGAACCGCTTGCATCATTGTTTTATTCCAGTAAAATAGGGCTCAGTTTTGATTTTGGTAATCTGTAACTATTGATCCATTAATGAACAGAAATAAAAACCTAAGGTTTTAAGAATGGATGAAATAGTGATGGCACATCTTCTCACATATCACATCTGCTTTAGGTCTTTGTTACAGCAGACATATAACTGGAGAATTAAAACACTGTAGAGCAGGTTTTGGCAAGCTGCCATTGATGATGGCAAATTATAGTTTCGGTTGAGATTATAGTTTCGATTGAGATTTTTTTATTCAAAGTGTGATACTGACAAGCTTGTGTTTAATACAACAATGCAGAATTATTTTTTTTAAGTACAGATGGCAGCTGAATCCAGGTTTTGCAAGGTCACTTGAAACTATATCCTTGGAGCAGTCTCATTTATTTTCATACAGGGTTCAGTTTCCTTTATACTTTATGTGCTTTGTCTTGTGAGGTACTTCACTAGCTGAGAACAGTGTGCTATTTTTAATTCATTGCTTCTCTGGAGTGTTTTAATGTCATAGTATACTTTGACCAGATTCTGAGTATTGGAAATAGAATAGCTGATATTTTTGGTTCGAAACGGACATTAGTTTAATAGTGTTTCTTATGGATAAACATTTTTTCCTGGACAGAATATATTGCTAAAATTCATGGTGGGAATTTGCACTTGAACGAGGGCGAGCTGGAGAGAGACAGCTTTATGCTGGGAACTGGGTAGACTGTGTTATGTCTATTCTGAAGTAGTTTTCTATGGATAAACATTATTCTTGTAGTGAAGACTACTTCAGAACAGTTGAAGCAGCCAGAATGCCATCCACCTACTAACCAGGGCAGTGCTTTTCCTCAGCATAGCCGCATACCCTGTATCACTGGCCATGTAGTGCTGATATACCTATGTTTAATGGGTATATTAGCATTACAGAAATTCCTGTTAGCTGAGTTGCAGAAAGCAGCATACTTCCTTAGAAGTTGGCTTAATTCTTATCTCCATAGGCTTAGAAATAAATTTCTTTTGTCTCTAAAAAGTTAGGCAGTGTCTTTTATATATTTTATCCAGGATTCAGAAAGCTTCTTCAAAAGGGCTCAGGTGTGCACAGTAGAATTTTACTGTGAATAGTCGATCCCGATCCTCACGTGCATCCATTGTTGTATCTAGGGAAATGAACTCACTATAGGGGTTGCCAAAGTGCCTGAATGCAGAAATCTTTTAAAAAAATTTTAAACTGTGCATTACATAACAATCCATTTTACATTTTGCATACATTATAATGCCAATTTCCATAAACATTATTTAAATCTGTCTTCTTAACCAGAGTTAATTTAATCATTATAAATAATCTTATAAAATGACATTGACTCGTTTTAATGGTGCTAATTGTTTCTTCCAATAGCAAGCAAATACTAAATGAGCAGCAATTATTGTGTTTAATACAAAATCTTTGCACGTACTTGGAATCTGCAACTAATTGAGTAAGCATAAATTCTATACTATCTGAAATTAAATTGACCATCATTTGCCAATTTGGAGAGCCAGTTTGGTGTAGTGGTTAAGTGTGCGGACTCTAATCTGGGAGAACTGGGTTTGATTCCCCACTCCTCCACTTGCACCTGCTGATGTGACCTTGGGTCAGTCACAAGCTCTGGCACAGCTGTCCTTGAAAAAGAGCAGTTTCTGTCAAGAGCTCTCTCAGCCCCACCCACCTCACAGGGTGTCTGTTGTGGGAAGGGGAAGGGAAAGGAGTTTGTAAGGCGCTCTGAGACTCCAAGTGAAGGGCGGGGTATAAATCCAATCTCCTCCTCTTCTTCTTCTTCTTCTTCTTCTTCTTCTTCTTCTTCTTCTTCTTCTTCTTCTTCGATAGCTGTGCAAGGGCATTTCCATGATAAATAGGAAAAAAATTGCATTTTCCACTCCTTAATGCCAACATTTACCATCCATTCTATTTTATTTATTTATTGTCTTTACTGTTTTTGCAACCGGAGTCATAAACAGCAAACCCTCGTCCCACAAGAAACCTTGTTTCACAGTGAAACATGGAAGAATTTAAACGTTGCTACTGCAAAAGTTGTCATGTGATTTGACAATAGCTGCTAGAAATTTTGCCACACACAGGGTGGTTTGTTTGTCTTCAGCTGCAGTCAGACATGCGTTTAGATCATCCGGCTCAGCTGCGAATGCCTGATGGATCTAAAGGGCACAATCAAACTGCAACATCTGGGAAAGGTCCTGCAGTCATCGGCACCCCATGCTGGTCCGCCACAGAAGTGGAGTTAAAACACAGTGGGGAAAGTCCGGTCTTAATGCTTGCTGACAGGCTACGGATGGATTTTCCCCTGTCTGATCGCTGACGTATGCTCTCATGCCATCAGGATGGTCTGCTCATTCCATCCTGACTCAGTGCCGGTTTTTTCCCCTTGCTTAGCAGTATGCGTATAATCACATACTCTATAGGAAACCCTCAGTTTGGAGGTGCAATTCCTCATTTATGTGCATGGGAAACAAAAGGCAAAAAAATCCCTCTCACCCAAACATGTGCCGTCTGTTTGGGCAGTGGCGGACTGAGCCCGCAGCTACAAAGGATGTGTGATCTTGCAATGCTGTGTCAATTTCCACTGGGGGAAATAGGCTCACTTCCCCTTCACACCAAATGGTGCATGTGATCGCAGCCCCAGTCTCTAAGTAACCAGGATGATTTTGCTCTTGGAGAGAGGGAGTCCTGATTAAATAAAGGGGAGATCAGTTCATCTCTTAAGAGCTGAAAATTTGGGGCAATCAAACAGAATAGGATCCACAGAGTCAACTTTACTGCTGTCACAATTACAGAGTCAATCTGAGTATGAAATCCCATTAAATTTTCCTGACATCACAACTGAAGTTAGGGCATTCAGGCACACTAGCATGAAATGACGGCTGAGGGGTGACGTGATCAAGGTTTATAAGATTATGCATGTGATAGAGCAGGTAGAGAAAGAAGTACTTTTCTCCCTTTCTTACAATTACAAGAACTCGTGGGCACTCAGTGAAATTGCTGAGCAGTCGGGTTAGAACGGATAAAAGGAAGTACTTCTTCCCCCAAAGAGTGATTGACACATGGAATTCACTGCCACAGGAGGTGGCGGCGGCTAGAAGCATGGACAGCTTCAAGAGGGAATTAGATAAATATATGGAGCAGAGGTCCATCAGTGGCTATTAGCCACAAGGTATGGATAGGGACTCTGGGGCAGGTGATGTTCTGTATTCTTGCTGCTTGGGGGGGGGGGGTCAACAGTGGGAGGGCTTCTAATGTCCTGGCCCCACTGGGTGGACCTCCTGATGGCACCTGGTATTTTTGGCCACTGTGTGACAGAGTGTTGGACTGGATTCTTGTGGTGGTCCAGCTTGACTAGTCCGAGGAAGTTTAGATCTGGGTTTGATTTTAGAGTCCTAATTTTCAAATTGAATGCTGTTCCCCAGGCATTTGCTTCATAAGACATCTCCCCAACTTCTCAAGGCCATTCCAGACACCATCCATTCTGTGAGATATTTTAGCTAGTTTACTTGGAGCTAAGTGCCATTGTTTTGCCATTTGTCTTGAATTTGCATGTGTCGTTAAACAGATAGGAAAAGTTGAACCTCAATTAAATAGAAATGTCCATACTGATACATCAATTTCATGTACTACAGCTTATCATTTCCCGTGCATTTTAGTGTACTCTGCAAATCTAATAGTTAGGTAATATAAATTTGATAATTTCTTACTCCCCTCTGCTAACAATATTTCACAGCTTGTCATTTTTCTTAGTTTTTCTTCTTTTCTCATATTGGGTAATCAAAAATTTTCAGTTGTAAATATCATACACAGTAATTTTTCAACTATTAATATTACAGAAGATATCATAAGAAACCACCCCCTCATTAATGTGAAATGAAATGTTTGTATGTTACTTAATATAATGTTTGTACCTTATTACAGAGGACAGTGGGAAAAACACAGGTTCCAGTTTGGAATTTGGTTATCTTAACCATTGCAATGGAAATGGAAATATCCTTTCCAGATAAAAACATAGGAAACCTACAAATGGCTAGGCCATCAAGTAATTGAACTTGCACCATAAATGTGCTTAGTAATACTGGTCATTTTCAGAGTCACCTACATGTTTTAGTTCAAAGATCATCATACTGAATAGTACAACTTAAGTTAGATTTTGTTATGGAACCCGATGAGAAAAGCTGTAAATATGAGTTGAACTTTTTTCTTAGCTATTTCAGTGATCAGATTCTCAAGAGCAGGGGAAGTGTACTGAGAAATATCTATTGGTGAAACCCTGCATACAATCTCATAATGTTAAAAGATAGTAAACTGTAGCAGAATAAGAAATTCAGAGAGAAGATGGATACAAAAGCAGCTCATGAATCTTATTTGTTTTTGTTTGTGCTATTTACATTTATATAATTATTTTGCCTTTGTATGCCTCCATTAGAATGCAAAGATGTGAACAAAGTGGCTTATTGCCCACTGGTACTGAAGTTCAAGTTCTGCAGTCGAGCATACTTCAGACAGATGTGCTGCAAGACCTGCCAAGGACATTGACCCACAGAAATGGAAAGTGCCTTGCGATTTCGTTGTGGAAAAGTGTCCGTCAAAGAAAGATTGCTGCACAGTGGAACCAGACAGATGTCCTTGTAAATGCATCACCCTGTGGAAAATGTAACCACTGGTCAGCCGCAGCTGACAGAATTTCAATATTATTTTAACTTCTGTGAAGTGGGATTTATTCATCCAAAGTGCTGGACACAGTATAAGGAGGGCATGCCAAATTGGAAAAATACACACAGTACATAAACTTATGGTGGAACATATGTGTACTTTTGACTAAATCCAATAGTCTGTTTACCTCCTTGGACCATTAAGATAATTTTTATTATGGACTTAGCAATGACACTGAATCCATTTCTATTTAATTTTGTTTAAAATGTAGCTGTTATGGTTTGGTCAACTACAAAAGAAGAATTTTTAAGAAATTTGTCATAGCTTATAATAACTATTTTATCTTACTGCATAGCACCACAACCTTTAAGTAAAAGTGGGTTTGGGAATATTATTTTAGAAGCAATTATAAATCAGAAGTAAAAGAAATGTATTTTCTTTGTTTCATCTAATTTTTAAGGAATGATCCATATTTCCTGAATACTGCTGTGAGCCATATCTAAAGCTGAACAGAACCATGAGAAACATGTTTGTTTGAGATGAAATAGTTATTTCCTGGATACATCAAACAATAAGAAATAGGTGCTACTGGTTTATAGCCATCTTGCCATCTTACAACTAAACCAGGATTTCCAATAAAAGGGAATATACAATGGAGGAATCACACTCCAGTCATGCGGAACATTTTGAATACTAAGAGGATACTTATGGCTAATTCACTTTTTAAAAAAACTTCAGTTAGAGTGGCATCCGTTCTGCAAACATCTAAGTGGTTTTGCTGCTCTGTTACCAGTAATAAAACTGACAGTGTAGTTGGGCAGAGGCTTCTGCTGAAAATGATAGTTGGTTTTCAATTTTTCCTTTCTTGATATGATAGGAGAGCATTGATTTGAAAGCCAGTGGCAGATAAAAATTTGAGCATACCCAGTTTTGGAGATTCTTACTGAATAAACAACCAAAGAATACATACATTATGAGAACTCTCAAGTCAAAGTATTGCAGTTTTTAATATTGACCATATCCACGTATTAATATTCTGAATTGTGTTTAAATGTGAAGCCAAGCTCCTTGGGTAAAATAGATTCCAGAATCCAGTGTGAGCTAATTCTTATGGCCATACTTCTCCCCCATTCCCTGCTCTGTCAGTGACACAACAAAGAGATAAGGAAAGTGGGTACTTGTTTATATTATTATATTCTACTTGAACACTTGCAGTTTGTAGCAGGTACTTGATGAATGTGCTTTAGTGTCCAACTTGCCTCCTTTGTTGTAGTGCAATTGAGACGATGTGAACACCACCACCTTATATTAACACTAGAAGTCAAACGGCACTTTTATAAAAAGAATGCTCATAATGAGACAAGTTTTTATAACGTGTATGATATCTAAATGTGTCAGTATATTTAACAAATTGCAGTAAACCAAATGTGTTGAACAATATTTACTAATGTGAATTAACAGGAAAAACAAAGAGAGCGTTGTACTAGGCAGGAAAAAAACACCTTGACAATCCATCAGTGGGGTTTTCTGGAGCCCATTTATTCATGATCATCAAACTCCTGTCATGTTCTACCTCTTGACAGCATGTTTCACTTCCATAAACCTGTGAGAAGTGGATTTCATTTCTGGCAGATCTGTTTACTTGGCGCCATTAATTGTTCTCAGTTGCAATGTATACAGCTCTCACTGAAATGGAAGTGTTTAAAATAAATATATACACATTTGGGAGTTAAACATGTAGGCATGATGGGCAGTGTAGCCAATGAGTTAAAAACCTTTATGCATCAATTAATAAAAGAAATATCTTGGTGCTAGCATGCCTTGACTAAGTAAAATATGATAAAAGGGATAGATGTTACAAGGGCATTTTGTAGGCAAGACACTACAATCTATCAGACTCTGGTTTGCTCTGAGGGGTGAATATATTTATTAGTTAATGTGTCTTTTCAGCTAACAAAAGATATGATTTATTCAAACAAAACTCCTTTTACCTCACTTAGGACTTTGACATTGCAAATAGTGTTTGCACAGACACATTTTGCTCTTTCATTGGTGCTAGAAGACCAGGGAATCCAATGTTTACTCTACAGAACAGAAGAGCACTGAGTTTGGAATTTAAGAAACTCCCTGGAGCAGTGCTGACTTGCATTGCTAAAGGGAATGAATGAAAAATGCAGAATGTATTGGGATTACAAATGGACCCCCATGTAGCTTAAGACCTGAAACATAAAACTCTGGCTAAAAGAGGTAAATCATTGGTTTTCACAGCACAGGTACATTGCTGCTGCTACACTATAGCTATCTATATAATCTAAGCTAAAATATTTTAAAAGTATTATATTTCTAAGTAATGACAATAGAACCATTCGTATAGGCTACACAAAGTTGGGAAGCCTAGGAATCAGTAGTAGAGTATTAAGCTCACAACATGGTGCTGGTAATTCCATTGAGCAATGCCGTCAACTGTAAGGCTACAATTCTGAAAAAAATAATGCTTACAGTCCCACCTGTCCAAAGGTACACACCTAGAAACAGTCCATTTTAGGGAAATCTTTATTAATGGTATAGATATAATAGGTTTCCTTAACAATGCAGAATGGAAAAACCCTTTGTATTATTGTAATTAGTTGCTTATTATTTTATACGCAGTATTAATGTGGTACACTGTTACATTGTTATTTTATTTGCTTTTGTAAATTATATGATAATTTATTTCCATGTTTCCTAACACTTGTCTTACATGTCATGCATTCTGCTGCTTGTAACACTTGACGCAGTACAATTCCACACCAGGCACAGATTTGTTTTAACATAGAAATTTAGTAAAATTAAAAAAAAAATGCAGCTTTAAAGAATGAGCCTTCTGGTAACGATCTGTTCACTGACATCCCTGTTCAAGAATTTTGCTAGCACAAATATTTACTTCATTGAAAGCTCTTCTGAAAGTGTATTTACTTTTTAGTAAAGATAACACATCAAGTAATGTCTCTCTGTTGTCTCACACTCTTATCCCCGGCTATTACTGCATTTGGGCATATTGTGGAAAGGCCATGAGGCATAAGCCACCAAACGCTGGTGCTATACAACCTTCATTTGGGTCAGTGACGTTCCTGTGCGGGCACCAAGGAAGTTAAGTCAGACGTTAATAGTACTTGCAGAGTGTAGGCATAGCCCTAGTTAGGGATTTGGTTGTTAGTTTGCTGTAGCAACAACATAGACTCTGGTTTTGAGTTGTAGGTGGCTGGGGAGAAATGTGGACATTGATGGAAGAATGGGACAGGAGGCAAAGCAACTGCATAGTCCCCACTGTGACAACCATAATTTAATAGCACAGAAAGAAAATATACTAACTTTTCTGGTTATAACTAGAAATTGTGGACTGTATTCAGATATCATGATCAACTGTGGTATAAACTGGTTCAATAAACTCCCCAGTTCGTTGGGATGACTGAATGCAGACAGTGTAACAAATTCAAGTTTGTTCCTTGGCATGAAAACAGGATTTTACGTTAGGGTTTGTGTCATCCACATTTTGTATTAATTGTGGCTTGTAGTCAGTTTGTGAAGGAGTACCACCCTTTGCATCCACCTGGCATCAGAGACAGCATTGTAGCGCAGATACCCTCCTTGCTAAAAGGCAGAAAAAAGCAAGACACAAACAGACCAGACCATGCACAAACTGGGATTTGTTATTTATATCTGGTAGACCTAGCCACAATGTGTTGCACAAACCATGGTTTATACAGATCATGGTTCATAGTCAAATTTACGCCTTGCCTTTCTCCCCAGTGTGGGATGCAAAGCGGCTTACAATATCCCTTTCCTCTTTTTTGTCCTCATGACAGGCCTGTGAGGTAGGTTAGACTAAATGTGTGTGACTGGCCCAAAGTCACCAAGCAAATTTCCAAGGCACAGTGGGGATTCAACCCTGGATCTCCCAGGTCTTACTCCTGCATTCTAACTGGTACACCCCACTGGTTCTCTTTAATCCAGCCAAGACAGAGGCTTGTATCCTATCAAGCACTAATGGAAGACACACAGTTTCCCCACATTATCTTCTCCTCTCCTTAGTCCCTCTTGGCCCCCAAAAGCTTATTCCTGGGGTTATGAGACCAGCATGGATAAGCAGCTACATGATTTGGGGCTGCAGTTAGGAGAAGGAAGGGTCTGCTATGACCCCTCCCCCTTTTCTGTTACTGGAGCTGTGCTGACAAGAGGAAGGGGATAATTCCACTCCCCTTTCCTCACTGCAGCGCCCCCCCTCTACTTGCATGTCTGGCTGTGCAAATTTTGCAGCCCCTGGAATAATCTATCTGGGATCAAAATGCATGACAGGAAGAACAGAGGAATGTGGAGAAAATCTGTATTCCATTAGCACCTCTTATGAAACAAACCAAAGCTAATAGTGGTCTAGTCTGTTCAAATGTTTCTTCCCAACATGGTCCCATTGATCTTTTTCTAAGCACTTTTCAAGAGTCCTTTACCATCACACATTTCCCACAATTATTGATTTTCTGTTGATAGGTGGTTGTGACATTTTACTGAACAAACATGGCACAAAATAGAGCATTTTGGAGCACTGTGTTGCATAGTTTCTGCTCTCATCATTGGATTTCTCACTTCCAAATCTTTCCCCATACTTAGTATATGATGAACTTCCAACGAGCAGTCCTGACTTTTAAGATTTCTTACCTATGTCAAAATAGGCTCTCTATTCCCACTCATACTACATGTTTGATGAACAAATCACCTAAATCCATTTTTGTGATAGAGGAAGAGGCTGCCTGGGTTCCCATGGGAGTCCATTCCTGCCTTAGGAAGCTGCAGCAGAACTGATACAGCCCCACACCCTATCAGCTGATCAGTGCAGGCAGACATGCTGG